AAAACAAAAAAAAAAAACCCAATAAAGAAAAGAAAAAGCAACACACACATTAGGTGAGGGAGAGCTGTACATTAATAGAGCGAAGGTAGGGGGATGTTTGCAACTGGGCCTTAGCTAGTTGTGATTAATGTTGTTGGGTTTAGTGCTCTCTAATTCCCATCTTTTTGTTCTCCTTAACTTGAGCTCATATAGGATCTATGTCTATTAAGATATCCTTGATGCGTCATACGAATAAAGTTTTGGTGACTTCTGTCTTGTGAGAAAGCAAATACCATGAAAAGCTTCAAAAGAGATGCACAAGAAGTGGGTGTTGCCCTGATATACACTGCATATCTATGAGCTTGGTGAACTACTGTCCATTTACTTGGTGTATTTTTCTGTGGCACATTTCCTTACTCTTTTTTTTCTTGGTGGAATATTCTATATGGTTGAGTTCATTTTTTTTTTTTTTTTTGGGATTGGTTGGGTTGGGCTTTTGGAACCGTAATGTTACTAGGGCTGTTCCTGTTTTTTGGGAGGATTAAGATGATATTTGTGCAGCCTTATAGGCTGTTGGCCATAATTGTGACAGACCAAGAGGCCCTGTGAAAGGTTGAGAGGAGGTCCGTTCATGAATTGCCTGGTCCATGTACTTTCCTACACCGACTAGTTAAGGAAGGTCACTATGCTGTAGATTTAAATGGCCGTCAAAACTTGTGTGATGCATTTTAAATGCACGAGGGACAACCCAAAGTGGACTGTTAATAATGTCTTTGGATGATTATGCAGTCATTATGTGATGTGTTTTAGGGAGAGTGGAAATTAAATCCATGTTTGTTATCCTTCATTTACCATGATATATATGATTTGCAATCTATTATTGACAAGAAGGTATTGTGTTTATTTTTGTTAGCACCACCTTATTTGTGCTATGCAAATTCTCTCACATTTTGGGATCATCATGGTACATTGGTTGGCCTGTCTAGTCATTGATTGGCTTGTTATTGGCCATTTGTTTTGTGGAATTCCTTCCATTGTATTTTTGCTTGTTTTGATTATCTTTTTTTTTTCTTTTTCTGTTTGTAAAAAGTTAAAGAGTTCTATGTGGTTTATGTGCAATTAAGTGCACTTGTATGGCACATTGTTGTGAGAATAAGGTAGGTACCCATGATAGCTGTTTGTTTTACTTTGTAACAGATATTAAGACCATTTTCCACGAAACTAAGGCCCTGTTGTATTTTTTTTCTCCCCACTGCTTGTTTTAGGGTGGTTTTGCTATGAGACAATATATTTCACAACTTATGCCACTAATTGTTGAAGCTTTATTGGATGGAGCTGCTGCCACGAAACGCGAAGTGGCTGTTGCAACTCTTGGTCAGGTTGTCCAAAGCACAGGGTATGTGATGAGTTTCATATGTTATTTTTGATCTCTTAGATATTTATTTATTGGGAATATTACACTGGTTCCTATTGTTGTTTGGAATGATGACATGGTCACCAGCTAACATTTTAAAATTACCCTGATGTCACTTGGGGTTTTTGCCAGACAACAAATTACCCATCTCTGTATGAGGCCAGTGGTCAGATATGTGAAATTTTCTGTTGTTCATTTTGAGAAAAAGAAGCCAGTTATACAGTTACAGAAGTCGATCATATTATCATTTATATATACCAGTCATGTGTTGGCACATTTCCATTTTATTTAAAAAGTTATGATTGCTCATACCACTAATCTTATATCTCGTCTTTTCTTAGTCAGCTGGTGGTACAACCACCAGAACGACCACCTCCCTCCTTATAACAAAAGCACCTCGACTCAACACCATTGTTCTTATCTGTACTTCCAACTTTATGACCATCTCCATCCCCTGCAAGAAATGAGTCTCCCTTAAATTTAGCTTGATGGTAGGCTTTGCTTTTCTTTCTTTTTTTTTTGTTTTGTTTTTTTTTTTGGGGGGGGGCGGGGGGG